TGGTTTCCCAATTCGCTTTCGTCGCCTTCCCTGACAATTATGACGTTCAATATCAATGCTCATATGAGTTTTACTTGTAACTTTGTAAGAGTATATATATAGAGTGTGTATGTGATGAAAACACCTTAGGTTGCCAGCGTCCTTTGTTGCCTTTTCCATTAAATCCTTCAAGATAGGGATGTTCCTTTGATCATTAGAATCCAGGACTATCTGAGAATCATTCAATGTCCAAACTAAAGTTACTTGAAACCGAAAAATCGAGGAATGTAGAAATATGAATATAACCATAATACATATATATTCTTGGTTGTTGATTAGCTAAATATGAAGGAAGTACATAGACTAGAGTTTAGGAATATAATATAACTAAGATCACATAACTGAGTAGAGAAAGCTTACATTGAAGATGTCGTCTTCTCCAACAACACCAAAAGGAACGATTTTCGCTCCAAATTTAGATGCAACTCTCACAAACTCGGATTGTTCTGGCCAGAACAGCATGTATTCTTCACCCTGCAAAGTCTCTCTTTACATGTAAGCCTCTAAAACCGGAATTTCAAAAGATCGCGAAAACCGCAAAAAGGTCACAAACTGCATGCATATTTCCATCATCACCTTTCTATGCAAGGCTTCACGGACACCTCCAGGATACAAAAGCACATGAGCCTTTTCACGCAGTAGTTTGTAGAAATTCATATTGGAGACAGGAACTCCACCCATTAACTTATATTTGTCAAACGTCTTCGGGTCGACTAACGAGTCTTGGATATACATAAATACCATCGGATGTGTCAAACCACGCATGTGAATGTTCCTCTCTTTCAGGAGCAAACCTACCATTGGAGCCAACTCAAATCCTAATATCATGTGATAGCCAACGTACACAACGGGTCCCTCTGAAGGTAATCCTTCAAGGCTCCTTACAATTCTACCGTCTTCTAGAGTTGATAGCATTACAGGTGAAATAGCATCCATTAGCAATCTGCACCGCAGACAAAATCATTCAGTATTTACTATAACCTTTTATTTATTTTGCTAGGCATACAGAAAAACTAGTTAGATATAGCAATTAGTAAGGCATTTTACCGGTGCTCGTCTAACTGTTGTTGTAACTCAAAAGGGGTAGGTTTAATGTAATCTGAAATGTAATCATGAGACTTCCCACGGCGATAAAAACAAGTAAGCTTGATGATAGTAGCCAGATCAAGGCTGTCCTCCTACCACGAGATGTAAAAGAGATAATTGAAGTGTAGGTTATAAAATGAATCAATATCCTCAATTGATATGAAGAAATTGCAAGAACCTATTGAATATATAGTAGTATCATTATTAGACCCAAAGTATCGTAGCATCTTTCTTCTTTCTTGAATGAGGAGAGATCGCTTACCAAAAGCGGAAACTGTCCATTGTCATCAAGCTTACGGACAATACATTTTGGCAACGTTCGCGAGTATCTGACAATGTCTTCCTCATTAAGCAGCCATTTATCGCGTCCACTGCAATATTCATAAACACATTACACTTATGCTAGCTTCAAGCTAGAATTCTTTAAAAGTAAAAGAGATTCAGAATTTCTGAAACAGAGAAACTTATTGGACCTTGGAAGTATCAGTGTTTCAGCTCTGACTGAGTATATGTGAGCATTTACAGATGAAATGGCACACTTAAGCATCTCAAGCTTCCAGAGCAGTGTCTCCTTAGGGAACATCCTAATCAAAGTCTGAAAATATATTTTTCAAGGTGTTGAATCATATTACTTGATGAACACGAGAACTGAAACTGAAAATGTATAGATCATGAGTTCCTAAGGATGAATACTTACAGGAAGATTAGCTGAAACTGCAAAGAGATCTCTTAGCATCCCCCCACCCACTCCGCCCATTCGCTGGACGGAAAACTCATTTGACAAAGCGTCTAACATTCCAGTCAATGGATCACCTACGTAATTAAGCCCCGGGAACAAAGTAAACACAAGTTTGTCTTATCTTAATAATTTCTTCATTCATCTACAAGGAACTGATGTTGTATAACATCAAGATAGCCGTCACTGCTTTCTAAGTAAAATCAAGAATATGCTAAAGCATAACTTGGAAACATTTTAAAGATCCAACTTGAAACTCAAGTAGTGGGTTAACTTATGATTCAAGATCAAATATGAGAAGAGTATAAAAGTGTACCTTGCTTAAAACCAAATACATCTTCCAATAGTGTGGGAATTCCATCTGGTAAAACATTAAGCATTCCTAATAGAGGTTTTGACATGAAGTTGTTGACATGTGTGGCTGCAACAAACAATGTCTATGATGAACAAAGATGTACATATTTCGTAACATTTAGCGACAAAATAAGAATCCCGCAGACCTAGCTTGTGTACCTGGATTAACCAAGATCAGAGAAAGATCGATGTTGGGATTCCTGGCTGCAACATCTAATGCAAGACATGCTCCAATAGATTCTCCAACTAAATATATTGGTCTATTTGGTAAACGGTAGTTCTCCGACTTAACTGTCCTCTCAATAAGCTTCACCAAGTCTGAACACAAACAAAAGGGTTTAAACGGCATTAGCTATCTTCTCTGTTAGATAACCATATTGGTGCTTACAAGGGGGTTAAAAAGGCACCTTTAAATGAAGTACGATCACTGACTGGAATGTGAAGGCACCATATATCAAAAATCCTATTCAAAGACCAAAACATTAAAATTAAAGATCCCTTAACATGTCAATACTTCAAAACATCTAAAATCAAAGTTACAAAAACAGAGAAACCATATTCTTGTAGATACAGGGAATGTTGTAAAAAATGGAAAAGCTAATGCAAATTTTTAAGGAAATGAATAAACCATATAGAAAAAAATTAAAATAACTTACTCCCCAAGTTTCTTGTGATGGCGAATGAGCCCTAGTCCAGTACCATCGATCCCTGCAAGTTTTAGTTTTCTCAGTTTTGTTAACATTTCAAAGTTCCATGGAAATGAAATAAAAGTTCAAATCCGTAGAAACTATCCCAACTCAAGTAAACTGAATTATTGGTATCGTGTCTAGGTCAAGTCCGACTAATCCGGAGGTAACCATGCTCTTTGCATGTTACCGCAAACTCACCCTAACTAAACTCAACTAACCGGGAACCTCTGCGAGTTTACGTCTTGAAACCCGGATCCTCAACCCGAGATCCATTCGTATTATGATAGAAAGGCGAAAGAAGATTTATAGGACGAACCAGGTAAAAAGAGGAGGAGAGGAGAGCCTTGAGCATGAGCCCTGCATTCCAACGGAGAGAACCAACGAGGTGGACCTCCACCATCTCCTACAAAATCTCTCGCTTCTTCCAAAAAATCCGACAAGCTTTTCCGCAGATCGGGACGCGCCATCTCCATTTTCGAATACGGATTATCCAACACTTTGTCATCCTTATTCTTCCGTCTACGTCGAATACCCCTAGAAGGAGGAGGATGAGTGGATGTGACGGATTTGATCGCCGTGAGTTGTTGCTTCGAGGCGGAGGTCCGGCGTCGGAGATTTGAAGAGTAGAAATCAGTTACTCTTGATGAAGAAGAGACGGCACATAGACCGAAGATTGAGCGAAGTAGTGTAAACCCCATTTGTGTGAGAGTTTTGCCGTTTTTTTCTGTGTTTATAATAAGAACACGACAAACTCGTCCAAACAAAGAGGCGCGGAAAATAAAAAACTTTATATGTTTTCTTTTTGAAAACAAATAATAATAAACATATTTGGACATGTGATATTAATTTGTTTGTCCAAAAAAAAAGTGATATTAATTTATGATAACAGAAATCATTAAAACAATAATACAAATCAACTGGACATGAGTGATCAAAACATGTAATTTAATTAGTAGTTTGTGGATAGTAATTTTTTTTACTAACCATTTTTTAGCAGGTGAAAATCAATTAGTTATCAATATGCGAATAGCCTAATATGGCTAGTCAAACTTATAAATCTTAATTGATCGATAAATTAGACCAAGATACGAATTGGTCAACCTAAAAGATTAAAATCTTTGTCAAAAGTTAATAATAACATCATATAATGTGTGGTAATCTCAAACTTGCTAATTAACTGACTTACGATCCTATAAATGAAAACGACGTGGGACACTATAATCGACCAGCCGACATCAAAAGAGAATAAAAGTTTGACAATAATAATAATAATGCTAATAAACAGAAAAATATAGGATACAACCTAATTTGATATCTCATTACAAAATATCTGTGACAAAAATTCTGCAAGGCCTATTTTGAGAAAGTTGCGTTTCCATCTTTCTGTATTTAGTTAGAATAAAAGTCCATATTTACCACCTCTTGTGACTTGTATTTAAGAGAGAATTTTGAGCAAAAATAAAAAAGAAACAAATATAAATATGACCAACAACAGTGACCTTTTGGATCTTGTTATAATTTATATACAAATTTAGACGTACAAGTTTCGCCTTCTGAATTTTCTATAAACAAAACAAAATTTACAAACTAACCTTATATAGTTGAACTTTAATTGGCAAGGTGAGCCGAATCTCACGTACAAACAAATCCATATGTCTCAAGATCCATATGATTTTAGAAACCATCTATATGTGTCAATATCCGTTTATTTATTAAAACATACAGTCAAATAAAATATATAGTAGGATACAAATAAACTCATCCATATTTCAAAATTTTGAACGAGACACTCCAGAAAAGCTAGTTACTCGTTGTCCCATATATATACACTATATCCATCCAAAAATGAAAGAAAATAGTTTGTGAACAAATGTTTTTTCCTTTTCCTACAATTACTTGATGGAAGCATGCACTTTGTGTGCAACCGGAATTATGCATAAACGGAAACAAATGACTTTTAGGGGAAGTGTTGGATATATGATAGAGTTTCATCACTACAAATCTTTCTAACATAGAGAAAATTCAAAAACAAAACTCAGATGGAGGGAGATTGGAGACCACCAAAGCCCATATTTTTGCCTTTACATAAAAATTTGGACTAATGAGCCATGTCTGTGCAATAATGTAACGCAACGCATGGACCACTCGCAAAAACTCAGATTAGCTCTTTTACTGATATTTTCTAACTTAAAAATAGAGTATAGTGTAAAACAGTAGTGAGTAGTCCATATATCAGATATTAAATTGATAAGATCAGATACTACACTTGATCTTAGCCAAAAGGCCCGAAAAAGTATGAATTGTAAGAGGGAATGGAGCTTCGTGAGAGACTTTACATTAAACCAAAACATAAGTGTGAGAAAGAACAACCTCTATTGGGGCTAAATAAACCAATAATTATGTTATAGGCTTTACAACTCAAAATTAGCCCATAATTTAATCGCATGTGACAGGCTTTAGCTCAATTCAAAATTAGCCCATATTTAATAACTGTTGGTGTATATAACCCCCCTAACTTGACGATCCATTTCATTTTTTGTATAGATGTTTTAGAATTTAGGAAAGATAATGATGATAATGTTACAATTTATCCTCAGTCGTGCCAGTGAATAATATTTGTGTAAACTTACTGAAACGACATGATGATGACATTCGAACCAAATCAAATCTCAAAAATTGTCAATTGGTAATGAAAAAGATATGGATGACAGAAAAGAGAATCGAAGACTTTCAAATGAGATTCGGCAATGTCCTAAAAAAATATGCCAAAGGTATTCTGATTCTTAATTTAACGGTCAAACCTTTTATATCCAAAAGTGGTTAAATGATAAAGATGTAACATATCATGCAAATTTCCTTATTTGGAATTTTAAGGAAAACAAATTTTCATTTTAAATTAGAGAAACAGTCGAAATCAACTTGCACATACCATAAGGCGGAAGCATCTTCAGAGGAACATATTTTACACATTGCACTAAGATTAAAGGGACCATGCATATATATATATTTGAATTTCAACTATCTAAAGAGTAAAAAGAAAATGTATAAAAATTAAAGTAGTGAGAATAATAACCACTAAATAAATTGAGGACATTTTATCGACCATAATGAGTTAACCGCATGTATATATTAGTTGAAATGTCTTTGCCTTTAGTATATTATTTAGCTTTTAAATTACCTATTAATTAATAATATATATGTGGATCTATAAATCATAATTATATTAAAACATAGCGTAATACTTCAAAATATGATCGAGTTTACAAATTTGAGACAATTCTTTCAGACTAAATGAACACTAACCACTTCTAATTTGCATTCAATTGTTTTAATATTATACACAACATCTAGAGGATTCAAGAACATGATGTTTGTATATATATTGTGGAAACTCTTAAACCCACCAATGAACAACGATATAATTTAGTGAATGAACCGACAAGAAGATTATGTTAGTGACCCCAAAAATGGTCCATTTGAAGGAATATATATTCCTGTCTTGGAGAATATAAAGTTGACTACATTTAGCCCATGCAAAAAGAAAAGAGAGAATTTTAGAAATCGATATGCATATATTCCTTCTCAACTCTCAAGGGTTATAAAAAGAGAGCACATACATGCATGTAAGGTATAAGGCAAAACATATAGAGAGTAATGAAGTGTATAATGAGGAAGAGAGGTCTAACATGGCGAAAAGAGTCATGTTTAGTAGCCAAGGATGACTTGCCTGATCTTTTTCGCCTCCACGATTCAATTTCAAGTTCATGGGTTTTGGATTATTATGCATATATCTAAAACGTATAATAATTCGAAAATCATGTTGAATCTTGCGGGTTAGGTTTCAGGCAGTCTCTTTGGCTATCTTGACATGCTTTTTTCATCCATGTTATACCTATTTTTCTTTCTGTCTTCAGAATCACTATAAATTCACACTTCAAAAACTTTCAATCTTTTTTAAAGTATTACGTTTCATAAATGAATAGGATATGAGATGAGTATACGCATTAATTAGAAGGAAATGTCAAAGATGAAGAGGAGAATCATATTTGGTAGCCAAGGATGACTTGCCTGTTTCTTTGAGTAAAATGGTTATAGCATCATGATTGACAAATGACTATAAGTTATATCAAGTATGACCATTTTACTCATCAAAAGACATCAGGCAGTCTCCTTGGCTATCCTTATATGTTCTTCTCTCTCATCTCAGACGTTTACCTTCATCCAAAATAAGATAGACAAGACAAGAAAAATCATGGAGAGACAATGTTGATGCATGGTTTTGAGGCTTTTCTCATATATATAAGTATTACATTTTGCGCATACATCAATATGTATAAATGAATATCAAGCGACATTTTCAAATATATTCACTCATGACCCTCTCTCGGCAATCCAAAAAGCTCGGGAGGATACAGCTGATTGGCTATCTTAGTCTAAGATAACTGATTTGATGAGCCAACCAACCTCGAATGAGTCTCACCATCAAGTTCCACGGAAAGCTCCTCTTAAGGTACGGTGCAAGTGCAACCTAAAATCCTCTTGGAATTTTAATTGGAATCCCAAAGATGATGCATGGTATTTGGTGATCAGAGCATGGAAAGGTAATTTTTCATGTGAGCAAACGCCTTTATCGGCCACGTCTCGTCTCAGCTCTTGGAGCCGAAATTCAAAGTCTTCATTAGGCTTCCTTGAGCTTATTCACAATGAGACCGAATTGGGTTATATTCTTCTCAACAAGGACGGATTTCGTCAGAGCGATTAATTCTCCAGAGAAGTCGTTGTCTTTTCAATATATTGTATGGAAGAATGTAAACGGGTTTGAAATCAATTTTGTTAAAAGGGACATCATCTATGAACCAGAGTTACCAAACCGAGTGCTGCGCGCATAGACTGCCCGAAATGTTACAAAAGAAGGCCGTCACTAATCTTTTACTGCTCGAGACGGTCCCTCGTACAAAAGGCTTTCTTCAGAGGCTTCAAACGGTGTGAGAAGAGGCTAACTTGTTTTTATTTCTCTTCTGGACACAGTTACTTGTGTTATCTTGGCTTCCTTAAGGTCGTACTTAATTAAATAAATTAAAGATGACAAAAAATACTATATATAACATTTTTTTGTATGTTCATAATATTAGTTAAATTTTAAAAGTTCCGAGATCTAAATCGACGACATATCTTAAAAAGTAAAATCTTGAGCATGAATTCTAACGCTACAAACTAAACAATCAGCCTTGAACATAAATCGCATAAAATGTAAGAAACAAATAAAAATAAAAATTATTCTTGATCTTCATGATCATGTAACTAACTCGAAACAATTCATTGTAAAAGGAATTGTTGTCTTCTGATGCTCTAATATACATGTTCTTGGAAACAAAATAATGAACACTATTGTTCTTCGGACTATGCTTGTTAATACATTTCCGAGCGGTGCCAGTGAATAATATTTGTGAAAACTTACTAAAAAGACATGATATTATGATTCGAACAAAATCAAATCACATTCTCAACGATAGGTAATGAAAAAGGTTTGAGAATCGACTACTTTAGAAAATATGTAGGCGTGGATTGACAATGATCGGGCAATGTCGTCCAAAGGTCTTATTAACAAAACAAAACAAAATGTCCTAAGTTCTTCTGATTCTTTCATTTGATGGTCAAACCTTTTTTTAAATCCAATAGAGGTGATATAGAGATGCAACATATCATCAAAATTTCCTATTCTGGAAAAACAGTTTTAGTTTTAAATTAGAGAAAAGGTGAACAACTTGCCATACCATAAGGCAGAAGCATCAATTGGAAGGACCATTTTTTTTATCTTACACATTTCATTTAGATAAAAGGGACCGTATCTATATATTACTCGATTACTACTATTAAAATTTCAACTAAATATTTAGTAAAAAAGTATGCACGCAATTGCAAAGTAGTGAGAATGATAAGCAAGATAAAATAAATTGAGAGCATTTAATCAACCACAATGAGTTAACCCACGTGTAATATAAATGTTGAAAAAGCTTTTTATCGTTGGCGAATAGTCTTTCTGTTTCATATTAAGTGCCTTTTTAGACTTAAAATTTTGTTTCAAAATAAGTGTCATTTTGTTGACAATACTATATTAACGGTTAACAGTTCAATGTAGATATTCGAAAAATAACTCAGTTTTATCCATACTATATTAATATGTTGACCAATAAAAAAATTAGTATGATGTATTAATAAGTGGTAAAACAAAAAAATTTAGTGGTTTGATTCAAGAAGCTAGATTTTTAGTTTCATTTTTGGTTCTCTTTCAAAATAACATTCGATCCAAGGATGCATATATTGTAACAAGAGTTTTTGGATTATATAAATTTTATATTCATTCAAAAAAAAAAATTAGTGATTTTTTTTAATAAGTGTGAAAATCCTTAAACGATATTTATAATGAAACAGAGTGAGTATATATCAATTAGATTTTAAACTATCTATTAACAATATATATGTGGTTCAATAAATCATAACCTATTATATGCAAAACTTAAAATTATATTTAAATATATGTTCAAATTACAAATTGAAACAATTGTTTCATACTGATTGAAACTAAATAACCACATCTAAATCTGCATTTGATTCGTTGATTTAATTAAACTCACATAAAATGTACATTTTTTTATTATATATAAACAAAATGTAGATGATTCGACTATAAATTTTGGACATTGGGGAAACTATTAAACCCACAAATGAAAGGCGATGTATAATTTTGTGAATGAACCGACAAGAATATTATCTTAATGACCCGATCGCGAATAATGGTCCATTTAAAGGAACATATTCCCGTGATAAAGAATTCAAAGTTGACTATATTTAGAAACCAATATGCATATATTCCTTCTCTCAAGCGTTATAAAAAGAGAGCACATGCATGTGAGGAATGAGGCATACAGAGAGTTACGAAATGTATAATGAAGAAGAGAGGTCTAACATGGCGAAAAGAGTCATGTTTAATAGCCAAGGATGACTTGCCTGATCTTTTTCACCTCCATGATTCAATTTCAAGTTCATGGGTTTTGGATTATTATGCATCTAAAAGATGTAATAATTCGAAAATCAAGTTGAATCTTGCGGGTTAGGTTTCAGGCAGTCTCCTTGGCTATCTTGACATACTCTTTTCATCCATGTTGTACCTATTTTTCTTTTTGTCTTCCAAATCACTATAAATATACTAAAAAAAAGTTTCAATTGTTAGAGTGCTATTATGAGTAAGGTTTTATGTTTCGAAAATATCAAACTTCAGCGTTTAGTTTCTAAAACATTTTTCATAGTATATGAGGTGAGTATACACATTATTTAGAAGGAGATGTCAAAGATGAATAAGAGAATCATATTTGGTAGCCAAGGATGACTTGCCTGTTTCTTTGAACAAAATGGTTGATGTCATGTTTGATGTGACTATAAGTTATATCAAGAATGACATATTGCTTATGAAAAGACATCAGGCAGTCTCCTTGGCTATCCTTATATGTTCTTCTTTCTCATCTCCGACATTTACCTTCGTCCTTTTCTCATCTCCGACATTTACCTTCGTCCAAAATAAGAGAGACAATACAAATATATATTGATGTAAGTCTCGCCATCAAGCTTCATTGAAATCTTCTCTTAGGATATTGTTTTGATGCAGCACATCTAGATATATATATCATGTTTCATCACAAGGCATTGTTCTTTATGGGTTTCGAAGTGTTTTATGTTTTTTCTTTGATAAAGTTCGAGAATCAAACACACATGCAACCTTTTAGATTAGTTTGCACACTCGCTACCAACAAATTATAAGGAGGGCCAAGAACCTACAGAAAACAGCTCGCTTATGGGAAAAAGAAGAGAGCTCTAAACACTAAACTGAAACATTAAACAAGAAAGTTTCCACCACACTTTCCAAAGAACGTATGTGATCAGAGCCGGCTTTTGAGATAAACCCATCAATCATGTGCTTGCGGTCCTAAATATTACTCCTTCCGTTTGTTTTTATATGATGTTTTAGATATAAGCACAAATATTAAGAAACTATGATTTAGTGCATAACAAACTTAATTCAACCAATCAAAACAAATACTGCAGAATTTGAATGATCAAAAACTATTGGAAAAATGTAAATTTTGTCTAGAAAGTTGAAAAAATCAAATAATATGATACAAATAAAAGCTTTTAAAACATCGTATAAAAGAAACGGAGGGAGTATAATTTAAATCTAATCCTTTGTTTGATACATGTCCTAGTTTTAATTTTTGGTGTCTCACATCTTGAGTTTTCCCTTTGTTTGACAAAAACGTTTTCCGTTTTTCTTTAAGTAAATTAATAAAGTTACACAAAACATTATCATACTTAGTTAAAAAAAATTGAAAAAAAAAAAAAAATTAGTAAAACATAAGACTTGAGTTTTTAATAAAAAGGAAATCAACAAAAAAAAAAGTCTAACCGCGTCTTTCTCATCTTCTTTTTATCGTTGGCCGTCGTACAAAACGGTCCCTTTTTTTCTGCTTGCAGTCTTCTAAAACTCTAAGGCCGGTTTTGCCTTTGAACGCGGGATAACCTAATAAAACCAGGTATGCCACAACTGAAATTAAATCAGCATCAACACGGACATGAACAAAAGTAGGCCTCAAAACAAAACCAGAGAACAAAGAAACTGCAAGTTTTCTGATGCTCTAATATACATGTTACTATTCTATCTTTTAATGAAAAATAAAATATACGTTTTTCTAAAGAAAATAATGAACATTCTTCTGCAGACTACGTACGCTTGTTATAATTTTTCCGAGATGTGGCGCCAGTGAATAATATTTGTGAAAACTTACTAAAATGACATGATGTTATGATGATGACATTCGAACCAAATCAAATCTCAACAATCGGTAATGAACAAGATATGGATGATAGAGAATCGACTACTTTAAATGAATAGGCGTGGATTGATTCGGCAATGTCCCATATACAGTACTGATTCTTTAATTTAATGGTCAGACCTATCATTCTATATATCAATATCCAAAATAGGTAATAAAAAATGCAACCCATCATAAAAAGATTTCCTATTTTAGAAATTCTAAGGAAAATGATTTTTATTTTTTAATTAGAGATGAAGAACAACTTGCCCATACCATTCAAAGGAACATTTTCTTTACAAATTGCACTAGTTATAAAAGGGAACATATATAT